AAAATTAATATGGACAACAAATTTGTATTATTGCTTTTTTTTTTTTTGTACAGGGACCTTTCGGTTTCCGAATCTACAGGGGAACCGACTAATCCGGAATCGAGCCGGGTAGGACCACAAGGGCGGCAAAGCTCTCCCTTAAGAGTTTTAACACTGCTGCATTCTCAGGACTCGAACACGAGACCACTGATTAAGCTGGAAGAGACTCAAGTCATCTCATCCAAAACGCTCTTGGGTCTTTGTATTATTACTTTAGCTACAATAAATCAACCACGTAATGTAAAACACAAACCTCATTTTGGAAAGCTATTTCCAAGCTTGGGTAAGACGCATGAAATGGCCTTTTAAAAAGGTAATAAATTGCATGAAGTTTCATCATGAAACTCTTAATTCTCATATTTCACTTTAGATATTTAATAAGTACCTACGACTGATTCATGCGTGTATTATTAATTACTAGTGCATACCCCGTGCAATGCACAAGAAAGAGATATTAAATGAGTTATTTTCACTGACTCTATTTATGTCTAAAAAGCAATATGGTTACCAACTTTTTTTCCTCACAAAACGATAGAGATTCTATTAATAAACTCGGAGCGAACAATGTTCGAATAATACAGGCCAAACCCGAAAAATAAAAACGCAGGCCAAACCTGAAAAATAAAAACTGAGAGGACACGCATAATGCGGCCTAGAACCTGAACTAAGAAATAAAGCTAAAAAACCAAATAAAGTCACTCCACTGCCCTGCGGCCTAGAGATGACAAAGAAGAAAATCAAAACAACTAACCAACAAAACATACTAATAATAAGCTAACAGAGAAAAATGATCCAAATGAAATTATCCTGAGTGAGTGTGAATGTATTCCAACCAATCTTGTTTTGCAGCTTTGAGAACCATATGAGTTGGCATGAGGGTGTTTTAAAAGAGGATGAGATTGCGCGTTTTTCAGATCTACCAGAGGATATAGGTTGTTAGTTGAATTCGAGCCTCTGATGTTTCTAATTTGTCAACTGAGTTGATATGCTGCCACCAACTAGTGAAGTGAAAGTCCTGTGACTGTGATACATTCCAAGTGACAGGAGAAATATGATAGAGATCAACTGCTCTTTTACAGTGGAATAAAATGTGAGTTATGGTTTTCTGGGCTTCACCACAAATACTACAAATCACATCAATATTCATGCCTCTTTTTCAGATTGATTTTGACTGGTAATGATTCTTCAATGCAATTCCAGATAAACAGTTTTATATTGCCCATTACCTTCAGTATCCAAAGTCTTTGTTTGGTCTTGGCAAGTGCTTGGCCATTCATAGAGGTGCTACCCGGGTAAATAGCAGTTTTTGCTGGCACAAGAATGAGTAGGTACTTGAGAGAGAGAAAATACCTTTCTTATGAAATTTCCAGTACTGCTTGTCAGTTGTGTCAGGTTTGAGGGTATTGATACTGAGAATTGCTTTGCTATCTTCCTTATTGAAGACCTGGTTAATTAATCAGGTACTCCATTTTGGTCCAGATGCATTGATCAGCTCCTTGACCCAAATTAAATGCCCTCTAGTAATTTCCATAAAAATAGGCTTTGGATGTTTTAGAGTGGGAACCCAATTCACATCTTCCAGTCTGGTTGTTTCACAGTTCTAATCATGACTGCATATCCTTGGGGCGATGTCTCTGGTTCAAGTCCAGGATGGCCCAGCTGCACCAGGGAAAAGTGGCAAATGTGGGGAGGACATCCAGCCAGTTGGACCACAACCATTGGCAGTTCTGTGTTTTGACAACTTCAAAAATAGAACTGTTAGGATAATATCGTCCTTCAGAATCTTTCTTACCAGTAAGTTGGTTGAGTGGTGATCCTCCAGAGTTGTTTACATATGGGAGTAGTATTGAATAGCTGCAAATCAATGAAGCCCAGCCCTCCATCTCTTTGGGTATAATGAGGAGATTCCATGCTTTCCAATGAATCCCTTGTGATTGGTCTTCAGCTGTACACCACCAAAAGTTAGAACAGAGTTTAGAGATATCTGCACAGAGGGTTGTTGAAATCTTGAAGAAAGACATGGAGAAAATTAGAAGGGCTTGTAATACAACTTTGATGAGAACTGCTTTGTCTGCTTGGTTGAGAAGTTTGGACCTAATATTTTGAAATTGATTTTACGGAGTCCAGGATGTATTTGAAAGTCTCAAAATTTGATCTTCCAATGCCTAATGGAAGGCCCAAGTATTTTGTTGATCTGTGGGGAGAGATTCCATCTAAGGTTACACAACTGCTTGATTTCAGTTTGCTCAAGAGTATTTCTTCTAAGGAATATTGATGATTTGCCCATATTAACAATTTGTCTAGTGAACAACATGTATTTCTCCAGTATTGTTAGAAGGGTGTTGGCCTTGTCAGTGATGGCTTTGCAGAAGAACAAAGAGTCATCTGCAAAGAGCAGATGAGAGATAGTTGGGCCATTGCTGGAAAGTTTCAATCATGTAAATGACATGCTTCAATAGCTTCAGAGACTAAGGCAGTTAGCATCTCATCAACAATTATAAATAGATAAGGGGATAAAGGATCCTCTTGTTTAATCCCTCTTGATGGAAAATCATATCCACTCACCGCCCCATTGGCCTTAAAAGAGTATGGACAGGAAAAAATGTAAATCATGATCATCTTGACAAATTCCTGGAGAAAACCCGTTTGCACCACGATTTTCTTAACACAAATCCACTCCGCTCTATCAAATTCTTTCATCAGATCAAGCTTTAGAGCTATAAAACAATTTTTTCCTAAGTTGTGCCTATTTAAAAAGTGGAAAGCTTCCTGGCCAATAATGACATTGTCCATAAGTTGTCTGCCCTTTATGAAAGCTGACTGAGACTCACTTATGCACACAGTCAAACAATTTTGCAGTTTAAGGGCTAAGATTTTTTAGAGAATTTTATACACAACTAAACACAAACTTATTGGTCTGAATTGGATGATTTGTTCCGGATTTAGGCATTTAGGGATAAGTGTTACATTGTGTGGTTCCAATATTTGAGACGAAGTCCATGATCATTGAAAAAAATGGAAATAGAAGTTACTAACTCAGGTTTAATAAGATCCCAGAAAGATTGATAAAACAGGGTTGTAATACCATCTTCTCATGGTGATTTATTTGGATGGAGACTAAACAGAGTTGTCCTGATCTCTTCCTCTTTGACTGGTTTCAGTAATTGTTGATTTATGTCAGGGGTGATTGATGGTGAGATGAGATGGAGTATAGAATCACCTCCCCTCTTTATTAGCGTTGTTTTTAATCATCTATTTTTCATTTTTTTCACCTTTTTTAATCAACGTTAAGTCTAAAAAACAATAAGGTTATAATTTATTTTCCACCCTTTTTAATCAGCGTTATTTTTTAGCCAGAACATTAAATATGTACATGTTAGGGCTAACTTGTAAAATAATTAATATATTATATAACTAACACATTTATACTTATATAAATTTGTTTTTTTTTTTCAAAACGATAGAAGGTTTTATAAAACTCAAATGAGAACAAAGTTCTAATACAGACGGGGAAAACCCAATAAACAGGAAATAAAACTGAGAGGCATATCAACAAGATAGCCTAGAACAACTACCAAACTATATGAACAAACCAACTATAGAGCCCATTCCACTACCAAGAGGCCTAGAATGCACTTCTATAATCAAACACTAGAAAAACAAAGAAAAGACTGCAAACAAACCAACTAGGACAATGAAGAAAATTCTTGCCACTCTGCAAGGGCAGTTTTGATCACCAACTGAACCGGGGGGAGAGACTTCTTAAATATCCATGTATTGCGCGTCTTCCACAACCACCATAACAAATAGGTGGTGAGCTGGATTCTAAAGGAGGCAGTGGCTGTTTGTGGCAGAGAACACAGCTGAATCCACCAGCTTTTGAAAGAACAAGAAAGATGCTGGAGTCCCTCCCAAGAAACAGGTGCTAACTTCCAAAGAGTTCTGGCCCTATGGCAGTTAAGAAGAAGATGCTCGACAGTTTCTGGTTCCTCACCACAACATCTGCAGTATATATCCACATCAAGACCCTTTTTCTTCAGATTGGTAAGAACAGGCAAAGCACTATGAAGACATCTCCAAATAAACAACTTAATTTTCCCTGGAATCTTTAGGGACCAACATCTGAGAAGAGTTTTCTGCAAACTTTGGCTAGAGGAGCTACTTTCAGGTTGATCAAGTTTAAGAACCTTCTGTTTTGCAAGAAAATTGTAAGTGCCAGAAACTGAGAATTTGCCTGTTTTGTCAAGCCCCCAATAATACCTGTCCTTTTCCCCAGCCTTCAGAGAATTGATAGCTAAGATTGCATTGCTGTCTTCAGCAGAGAACACCTGTTGGACAAGCCATCTGTTCCATCCTGAGCCATCAGGATTCATAAGATCCTTCACAAATATAAGGTGTCCTCTGGCCAGCTCCATCAGAATTGGTTTAGTCTTTGGCAATGATGGAACCCAATTAAAATCTTCAATCCTAGTTTGCTCACCACTTCTGATTTCAGTCTTGAGCCAGTTGGAAAAAATGGGAAGAGTGTCAAGCCAACTGTTCCAAAGCCAAGACCCTTTTGGAGTTTTGGTTGCATGAAAAATGGAGGAAGCTGGATAGTATCTGTCTTTCAACACTTGGCTGACAAGCAGATCAGGTTGGGCAGAGATTCTCCAGAGTTGTTTACATATCAATGCTTGATTAAAGAGATGAACATCATGGAAACCAATACCACCATACTGTTTGGGAATTGTCATTTTGTTCCAACTCTTCCAGTGTATGCCAGAAGATTTTTCCTCATTAGTTTTCCACCAGAAATGAGCACACATCCTAGAGATTTCCTTACAGATGGACTGAGGCAGCACAAAACATGACATTGTGAACACAGGGAGAGCTTGTATGACAGCCTTCAGTAACACTTTCTTGCCTGCTGGAGAAAGTAGCTTTGATTTCCAGCTTTGTAGTTTCTTCTGAATGGACACCAGCAAATAATCAAAAACCTCCTTTTTAGACCTTCCAATACCAAGGGGTAATCCCAGGTATCTGGTTGATCTATGGGATTGAACAACATGAAAAGATGAGCAAATTCTGTGTTGAATCTGAGGAGGAGTATTTTTGCTAAAAAATATAGCAGATTTCTGCAAGTTAACAGATTGGCCTGTGAAAAGCTTGTACTTTGCCAACAGATTAAGAATCACCTCAGCTTGGTCTACTCCAGCTCTGCAAAAGAGAAGAGAGTCATCTGCAAAAAGCAGATGAGAAAGAAGAGGTCCATTCCTAGAGATTTTTAAACCATGCAGCTGACCAGAATTTACAGCCTCAATAATAAGAGCAGACAGCATCTCAGAGATAATAATGAATAAATATGGAGACAGAGGATCTCCCTGTCTAAGCCCCCTGGATGGCTTAATGTACCCACAGACAGTGCCATTAACCTTGAAAGATAGAGTAGAGGTTGAAATGCAAACAAGAACAAGTTTAACAAATTCCTTGCAGAACCCCATTTGGATCATAATCTGTTTGAGGCTGAGCCACTCCACTCGATCAAATGCCTTCATAAGATCCAATTTAAGAGCCATAAACCAGTTTTTACCAGAATTGTGTCTGTTGAGGAAGTGAAAAGCTTCTTGAGCAACAATTACATTGTCTAGTAGTTGTCTTCCTTTAAGAAAGGCTGATTGAGAATTATTAATGCAGCTATCCAGACAAGATTTGAGCCTTTTAGCAAGGATTTTGGACAACACTTTGTAAATCACAGTGCATAAACTAATAGGTCGAACCTGGTTAAGAGATTCAGGCACTTCACACTTGGGGATAAGAGAGAGGATTGTGTGGTTCCAATATTGCAAGATAGAACCCGATTGAAAGAAGCTCAAAATAGCAGAAGTGAAATCAGCTTTTATCAAATTCCAGAAATGTTGATAGAATAGGGGAGTCATACCGTCTTCTCCTAGAGCTTTGTCTGGGTTAAGTTGAAATAGAGCTTCCTTGATTTCATTCTCATCTACTGGAAGGAGGAGAGCAGTGTTCATGTCATTGGAGATTGATCGAGGACTAAGCTGGAGAATAGAGTCACCTCCAATTGATCCTTCAGTTGTGAACAGCTTGGAATAAAAGTCCTCAATGTGAGCTTCCATGTCCTTCTGATTGTAAAATTCTTCCCCTCTTGCTGAGACAAGCCTTGAGATAACATTCTGTCTCCTTCTTTGTTGGACATAAGCATGGAAGAACTTTGTATTGTTATCCCCATTCTTGATCCAGGTAGCTCTAGATTTTTGTTGCCAGTAGGATTCCTCAAAGAAGTGGGCTTTGTTCAGATCTGATCTGGTAGAGGCCCATTCCTCCCATTTAGTGTCTGATGTGTCTTCTCTCAGCAATTCCAATTTGTTGGTCAGAGAGGCTATGGAGAGTTGGTTCTGAGTGTGGAAAGAGGAGCTCCATCGAAGAAGAGCTATCCCGGTAGCTTTAACTCTTTCTTTGAGCTGGAATAATGGAGTTCCATCAATCTGAATAGTCCATGCTTTTTCAACTGTCTCAGTCAATCCATCCTTACCAATCCATCTCTTATCAAAGGAGAATCTCTTGGGAGTTCTCACTCTGACAGTCCCCTGGTCAAGTAGTAGCAAGGAATGATCAGATGAGCTTCTAGCCTTGTTGAGAACTTTAGCATTAGGGTAGCTTTGCAGCCATTCCATTGATCCAAAAGCTCTATCCAATTTTTCCTCAATCAGCTCCCCATTCACCCTATTGTTACACCAGGTAAATTGGTATCCTGCCATTTGAATTTCTTCCATATCCATATGATTAATAAATTGGTTGAAGCCAGAGAAACTTCCACTATGTCTGGGATTACCACCAATTTTTTCCTCATTAGAGAAAATGGAGTTCCAATCCCCAGCAATAAACCATTTCTCTCCCCAAGAGGGTTGTAAGGATTCCAAAACTTGCCATTGAACTGATCTCTGGTTTCTGCAGGTGCTTAAATAAACAAATACTCCCCATTGGACATCTGAGTTTGGGAGTTGATACTGAATAGCAATAAAGAAGTCCTTGCTGAGTGTTTGAAGAATAGTGACTTGTTGATTCCAAAGAAGCAAAAGGTACCCACTTTGGCCCTGAGGATCCACAATAACTGATCTGTCATCAAAACCAAGTTTCCTACTGACTGTATTGACAAAAGATTTGGGTTTTTTTGTTTCTGAGAGGAAAACAAAATTTGGGTGATGAGATTTGATAATCTCTCTGATTTGGGAAACTGTAGAGGGCCCACCCAGCCCTCTACAGTTCCACACCGCAGCTAGCATTGATCACTTGGGCGCCATTCAAGGCTGGCCGCCCCCACCTGTTCTTGAGTCAACTTATTCTTTTTATTTGTTGTGGTCCTTTGGAGCTGATCCTCAGTTTCTATCTCTTCATCTTCAGAGAGAGTCCTCAATCTCTTACTCCCAGTTAAGTATAGAGTTTCCACTGGTAGAGGGTCTTGTCTTTGGAGCCTCCCTGATGTAGTGCTGGATCTCTTCCAAGTTCTAGCAATGGTGGTATTGATTCCCTTTTCCCCTTCAGGCAGTAAATGAGTTGAGAGACTCTGAATAGGATTTAGTATTACTTCAATCTCCATATTCCTGCAGGGAGTCTCTACTGAAGTGATTTGAGCCTCCACCATAACAACATTCCTGTGATCCACTTGAAGAGGAGTTTCCTGAATAGAGTTGGATGCCTCTGTGTCAGAGTCCATGCGAGTAATTTGCTTAACCGAGGCAGGAGTAAGTTGTTGGTTAGCTTTAGTTTGACTAGAAGATGCATGAGGTTGAGGTTCAGAAGTTGGAGCTGATGATTTCCCTGAATTTTGTGAGGGCTTAGGACCTGAGCTGCTGACTGTGACCCAATTGGTACCCTCTGCTGCCTTCATCCAATCACCGTATTGTCCTTCATTAACTGATCGATTTTTGATATCTTCTAGCCTGTTGGAGCAGTCCCTGTCAAGATGTCCAATGAAGCCGCAATAGTGACACAGGTTGACAAGTTTTTCATACTGGAAGCTGACTTTAACAATCTGGGAACCCAGCCTGATTGAGGCACATCTTGGTAATGCTTCCTTTAAGTTAACCTTTACCAGCAGCCTAAGAATTCTCCCTCCATGGTTACTGGAGCTGACAAGAACAACATTCTTTACTTCTTTAAATACACTACCCACTTTGAGACCAACATCAGTGCTTAACCAGTTTAAAGGGATATTTAGAGCTTGAACCCATAGCTGCAACTCATTGAAACCTTCATGTTTACTAGAAATGCCTTCTTGCCATTCAAGGATGATTAAGTATTGATTTTCAAAAACCCAATTGGTGCCACTGATAACTTTCTTTAGATCATCCTTGTTCTGAAAAGTGAATTGAAAGAAGTTGTAACCGAGATCCTTTACCTCCATAGGCTGTTTGAGTTTCCAGATGTGGCTCATGGTTCTTTGAACTCCTATCCAACTTGCTTTCCTATCCCCAACTATCTTCCCAAATAGGCTCCGTTGACACTCATCTGCACTTAGCTTAATATCTTTGTGCTCAATGTCAATGAGATGAGATTCCTTCGCCGATAAAGAAATGCAATTGAGTTTTTGTGCTAGCTCATCATCCCTTCCAACCTCGTCTGGTTCCCCCATGGATAACGATAGGCAGAACAAATAGGAAACCCTAAAATTCAAAAGACACCTCACAAGACGAAAATGCTGAGCCCCTTGAGAAACCGATTACGAAATAGCATCCGAATAATCACGAAAACAAAGGAGAAAAACAAGAATTAGAGACTGGAGAAGAAGAAATTAGCTCCCAGCAGAGAGAATCGGACGCTCCCAACAGAGAGAATTCCGTGATTTTAGGATATATATTTATTTTTTGATATAAGAGAAAACAACAATTTTAGTTATCCTTGTTCACCATATAATTCTGACTTATTATTTATTTTAAACTTTATTATCATATAATGTCATTTTTATTTATAAAAGTTATAAAAGATGTATGTCTTCTTCTTTTTTTTTTTTTTATTTTATGCAATAAAAAATATCCAAGGCACATTATTATTATTTATTTATGTAATCAATTTATTTATGCTTTTATTTAATCAGATTTAAACTAGTTATGCTTATTATTATTATTATCATTATTATTATTTGCCTGGACCTTACTGTCGGGTGTGGATACAAAACTATTTCAAAAAAATCCAATCTTTTTTAACTCAACCACTTCTTTTAACTTAACTTTAACTCAACCTCACTATCATCAATATTATCAATATAATTAAATAATATCAATCAATCATTCTTACACAACGCATCATCTTTAATTCACTATTCATCCACTCACATAATTTTAACTAATTAACACTTCAACTTTTCTCTCTTACTTTTTATATCAAATCAACTTTAATTATTTTATTTTAAATATTATTTTAATATACCCATTAACAGTTAACCATACCACATTTTTAAAAATTAACCAAACCAATCCAAACCATAAAAATCCAAACAAAAAAAATAAAATCATATCCAATAATAAGCTAACTTTCTCAAATGGATTAAGCAATCTTTATTCTTTAATCTATGCTGTGGAATGATGAATCCATAACTTTATTACTCAACTTTTTGGTTGTTGGCCGCTTTTTGTGAAGGAGAAAATGATGAAGAGACAAAATAAAAGATGCACCACCAATCGGTGTCTCCAATCAGAATTCTACATTTTTATTCAACTTTACTATATTTTTTTTTTACATCTGGATTGCACTAAACCCCCATGTATTATACGAAATGTGCGCGTTATTACTCTGTGTTTAAAAGCTGCATCAGACACCCGTATATTTAATTAAGTATGTGTTGCACGCTTCTTCCATTCCGTCCCACATAACAGCACGTAGAAAACACCTTCTCCAGCTGCGAGAATTATTCAATTTTTTTATTTTACAAAATTAATAATTTACATTTATGCCTCTTGAATATTGCAAAATTAAATTATATAAATGTAGGAAGCAAGATTCGATCCTGGAGTGAGAGGAAGGGGCACAATAACTCTACCACTAGGCTTATATTTGGATGGATATGAATTTTATTGAACATTAATATATTTATACATCATACGTAAATGAATTAAATATTTTAAAATAAAGTAAATAAAATAAAATAACAATATAACATGCTAATTTACTATAAATTAGATAATTAATACTAATAATAACTTCCAAAAAATTAAATTAACATAAGAAAAATAAATTATAATAAAGTAAGATCAAAATAAAATATAGAAGCGTGAAATTAAAATTTAATAAATTTAAATTTTAATTACTAAAATAATTTAATTACATTAATTTTAAATGAAAATATAATTCAAAAATTGATTTGAAAAATAAATAAAGATTAAAATAAACTAAATAAAGTAACATAAAAATAATAATTATAAAAGAAATAGAGTATAAAAATAATAAAGTGAAATAAATAATAAATAAAGTAACTTATTATGAAATAATAAATTAATTAAATATAAATATTAAATTAATATAATAAAAATAAAAAATATTATATATCGGATAATTTTAATATGGTTTACTCAATATGAATAAAAAAATTGAAATAAATTATAATTTTGTAGTAAGTAATTCTAATGTAAATAAATAATTTTAATTTCAAAATTTTATTTATTAAAAAAATTTAATCTTATTTCATTGTATGAAGTTAAACAAAATAAATAAATTTTGTTAACTAAGATAAAATTAAATGAATAATGAAACAAAATAATATGGAATAATATAAATTCAAATATATAATATAATATAAAAAAATATATAAAAATAATATAAAAACACAATAAATATTATTATAATATAAATATAATTTTTATATTTATTTATAATTTTATTTAAATTATTTTGTGTTTGTTTAATATAATAAGTTATTTTAATTATTGTTTTCGTTTAATTATTATACTTTAGTTTATTATATTTAATCTATTATAAGTTTATGTTTTAATAATTCAATTTAATATAATTTACATTATCTTGTAAAATTTAATTTCATTTATCCATATTTAATGTGATATATATTAAACTTTACTACATATAGCTTTCAACGTTGAGTGGTGTGGTGGTTGCATCACTTGTCTTGCTTCCATGAGGTCTCAAGGTCGAATCATTGAGATAGCAATTTTTTTTTATTTAATTTTTCGCGATATATTCAATATATCTTGATAAATTCAATTTATCGTAAATATATATATATATATATATATATATAATATTCAGGGGGTATAACGGGGCTTTTGATAAAAAAAACTAACATCGTTAATGGAGAAATTAAAAAATAAGAACGTGTGCAACACGTACTTAAACATAAGGGGTCTGGTGCAGTTTTTAACAGGGTAATATCACGCACATTTCGTATAATACAGGAGAATTTGGTGCAATTTACCCATTTTTAACATTACAAGACATTACTTATATTATGCTAGGACTCTAAAAACATTGACGCATTTTAAAAATCAATCTCAAATCATTCTGAAATTAAAAATAACCATTCACATTTTTAATTTTTTGCCAAATCGAACTGAAAAAATAGTCGATACTATTCTGAATGGGTCAAAAAACGCTCATATATATAATTACCAAATATTTTGAGCCTAAGTGGTAGGTTCATATGCTTCGAAAACATATATGGGATAATTATGTGCTTCGTATTGACACATGTACATGTTGGTTTTGACTATGAGACTTGAGAATTACTACAAACCATTTTATATTTCATTTTTTCTTAAGTTACCATATACTGCTCTTACTTTATCTTATTTAATTATTATAATAAATATTATAAATATGTATTCTTTTTATTTTTAAAACTTTATAAATTTTTTTATTTATACTTTATTTTTGTATATTATATCAAAATAATCATATTTTAACGATTTCGATTTGGCATCCATATTCCATGTATAAAATAAAAAATTATTTCATCTATTATTATAAATAAAACTAATTTTATTATAAAATTAATTTTAAAAATATCAAATAAAGATATAAATTATTTTATGGATATAATAAATTCAATAGTACATTATAAAATAATTATTTTAATGCATTTTTCATAGATTTTGAATAAAATAAGAAAATTAAGTATTAAATATGGGCGATATTTTGAATTAATTATCACTTTGTTAGTTATTCATTACTATTGTACATTCATTATACATAATTTTACAATAAAAATATAAATTATTTTAATATTTCTATTTTACTTTTTTTTTCACAACGATATATTTTATATCAAAAGAAAGAGTGTACAATAATTACAAAGAAGACTACAACTAAGTAGAATACATGGAACACCCTGACTGGTGGCCAGAGAATACATCGAAACAAAATCATTTCAAGCATCTATTCTTGACATAGTTTGAGGCTATGAAGACCAAGATAGATACTTGTAATGAGTGTGCTAATTCTGAGAGAAGCAACTGTTGGGTTCTGTTAGGAACGTCAAACAACATGCACAGTATTGAACTTTATCGAAA